AAGATAAACATCGAACTTATTGGTCAATTTTTCACGCATCAGTCTATTCACGATCGGCTAGATTTCTGCAGTGTATATTATTTAATTTTTTTTCGAACTAACTGAATATAATTTTTTTTTATCACGAATATTTGTATGGACCGTATAATGTAATACATAATATTATAGAATACCCGGGTATTACAATATAATACTACAGAGAATTATGTATAATATCTTATTTTCTGCGGTTCAAGTCTTATGGTCGCTCAGTCTTATGATTATATGAAGTTGTACCTATATGTATGTCTGTGTGGAGATTGTATATGCGCTATGAACGAAACCTGAGATTCAAATCTTTTTTTAAATTTTATTTTATTTCAGAGATCATATTATTTTTTTTCCTTTGACGCATCTTGTATATATAAGTGTCGTGCTCGTCGCGTCTGATGGGGTTTTCTCGAATTCGTTTCGTATTAAAAAGAAAAAGAAGAGTTACGGAGTAACATACAAATTAGATTTTCACGTCCATTTCTTCCCGACAAAAGAATTACAATATCGGCTGTATATATACATTATACATTGTAGACTACAATACAGTCGAACACTCACGCACCAATATACTTTAAAAAGTATTCTTCGGCAGTTCGTCGTGATAGTCGTTCACCGTGCTTTTCCTTTTTTTCGTTGAATTACAGATGGAAATAAAAACTTTACTTTTATGTACTCTAAAATTCTGTTTCATTAAGTACGACGAAAAAAGTCGCATTTCTTTATTAGATAGAAGTATAGAACGCTATATTGTTTTGTAATCCTCTATCCGTCCCTCTCTTTTACACATACTCACATATACAAGTTATAACAAATATTAAATTATAAATAGCCAATAGTCAGAATGGTGTTTTATTATTTCGCACAATATTCAACGTAATAAAGTTGCGGATAAATACTGTTTTGTACCTATACAATAGACACAGGATCGTGACGTAATGACGTAATATTGTATGGGTAATAGTGTTCGGTGGTATGTATTAAATTAATCAAATCGCCGAGACCAGATCAGTGAAAAAAAATTACATTGTTATCGAAATGCGGTCCATGGCAGGAAACAACAACCCGCGGCAGATTTCATAATATTTGAGACGAGTCCACGTGCCGCGTTCTCGGCCGGTCGTGTCTAGGCGTGTCAATATGATTATTGTACATCGTGAGCGTTTTAAATCGAGAGGCACAAAGTCATTTTTTCTTTTCCTTACAGGAGAGCAAAAAAAAAAAAATAATTCCGCTTTCTCGTTACTATATAGTATAGATGCGCTATATAGGTGCAATTAGCTTGATTTTTATGATATAATGTTTCCACTGGATATCTGGATCGTTGTAAAGTTACAGTGACTCAGATTTTGTATTACATAATGTTGAACAGTAAGAACCTAATATTCCAAAAACCTTCACTTAGTGGTTTTTTTAAAAACAGTATTGTACCTAACTCACCTCTTCTGACTCTTACTGCGTGCTTTATAGTTGTCTAGTGTTCTATGTAACGATGTGTACTATTATTTTACATAAATATGCTCAATACACTAGTCTAAGCTATACATGAAACGCTGGTGTTCGTACCTCAATTATACCTACATGGCTATATTGTATTCAGTATTGTGTTAGATATTAATGTTATTCAGAACACGATATTAAAAATCAAGGGTTTTGCTGTGTTAAGGTTGTAAAATTTAAGAAAGACACAACAAAAATTATACTTTTTTCCATAAAAATGTTATGTTTAATTGCACTTTGAATTGTATGCATATACAACTGTATACGACTGACTGAGTATAATATGAATATTGTTCGTTAGATTGTTATTAGAATATTGTTTCTTTCTGCAGTGTACACTATACGAAATATGCTATTGAGCGGCACCGGTCGTGTGTTCACGGTTCCTGTCGCATGTACGCCTATATGTATATAATAAGTACCTATATAAAATGATATTATTATAGACACGTCGTATACAGCTGCAGTACATTATGCCGGAACAAAGCGTATTATTGATTTGTTATATTGTTATAATGTAGACGAATGACCCGTAAAGGACAATAATATTATATAGGTGCCTATAATATAATATATATTATTACATGCCTGGTCGATGTAGAGTACGCGAACGGAATAGCCGGAATTTTGAACCGTGGTAGTATATATAATAATATTGTATACTGTACATTTATATAACTATACACTTGCCTTATTTTACATTACTGTTATACTATTTGTGTCTGGAATAATATTAAGATGGAAAATTGAGAATACAAATATTAGTTATCACTTATCAATAACAATCGTAACCTTTACAAATTATTACAACATAGTTTAATATATATTTTAAAATTAATGGAAGAGTAAAAATTTAATGAACTTCGAGTTATTCCCCTATATTTCACTGGTATTTATGAGTTACCTACATGTAGGAATTTTGAATGAAAACTTTTATTGAAAAAAATTGTGAAAAGAAAAATAAATCGAAAAAAAAGTATACAAATTTTGCCAACATGCGTTGATCTCGTGTTAGCAGAGTTTTTTATTGGTACGCAATCACAAAATATGTCTTCAAAAACAAACTTCAAACATCCTAGAACACAACAACTATCGGAATGTCATCGTTTTCGTTAAGCCGCACGCAAAAGGTGACTTTCCGTTTGTGTAATACATAATACCTTTGATAAAACCGACAAACACTTAATACGTCCAATCCAAGTGATAACACTCACGCGAATACGCAATAATTGATTATTTTTTATTGCGCCACAGTTGAAGTTTGCGGTATTAATGAAGTGACACTAGGGCCTTGTTATACGGTAATCGGTACGAGTATAGGTATTAGGTAATAACCAATATCGTATATTAGGTATAGAGCGTAAAGATGTTTTAGTGGGCACGCATCGGATATTGCGGGTCATGACTTGTCATATTTTTTTTTGGTTTGGCCATGTCGAGAATTTCGTCCAGTTATCAAGGTTGAGTCATCCAGAGAGTTGACAGCGTATTATTTTTAGCTCTCTCGGATACCTACAATCTATAAACCAAACCAGTGTCCTATACGCGTACCATCCATTGTATATAATATTATTTTTTTTATATTATGTGAACTACTGTATGACTGATAATACGTTTGTATAGTGTACATGCGACATGTATGGCCACGCGTGTTTGTGTACGGTCTCTCACTGTCTTTGTACATCGGCGTATCACTGTTATTATTTCGGGTGCGATAGAAAAACTTCAAGGACGGATTGGCTCCAGACAGCACGCCGTACGGTCCAAACAACAATAATAATATGAACGTAATATGTTATGCAGACGAACTCTGGCGAATATTTACCATCCGATAGCACACATACGCACGCCCGTGACGCAATGACGGCTGCGTGTTTTTAATAGTTGTTGTTTAACTATATTTCAAGTATTCTTATCGAATCGCCGACACACATTGCCATTATGATGTAGATAATAATTAAAACTGCCGAAATAATACGATGTACAGAACATACATTTTAGATATGTTACGAATTGATTTCGTACCTACGAACGATTGTGCGGGTTCAGAGTTGTATTTATATTTTTTGCCGACAATACCTATTATTACGTGCCGTAACTGAATAGCGTGGAATATAAGACTAAATGTTATTATACTTACCTACAGTAGTACCCATACGAGACCTAGTACAGTTTGTTTCTCCGCGGTTCCTTTGTCTCCCGTACACAGTTTTCCGCAATATGTTTGTACAATAATATAAGCGTAGGTGGTAAATATTATTATAATGTAGCCTCATTGTTGTGACGTGCATTATTGTGTACACGCGCGTAACAATTTGATTTTTTTTCCCGAGGTCTGCTATGAAGTATAATATATCAAGCAAAACAAAATACTATACAATATGATATTGTATTAAATTCTCCCTCTAAAATATTACAATATTAAACTCTGTATCAGTTAAAAGAAATCAACTTTTTCGAACATGACGTGTTTGTGAATCGCCTGTAGTGTGTGTGTGTGTGTGTGTGTGTGTGTGTGTGTGTGTGTGTGCACTGTACACAGAAAAGTTCTCGTATAACTATAATAATATTATGCTGTTATTATTGTAGTTCGCATGGCACGGTGCATTGGTAGACGAGATGTATTTCGAATGCAAACAACAAATAGACTGAGCCCTCGTACAATAATTATTGCGCGCTCCTTTGGCCTCAATAGTAATAAAATAATACTCTCTCCGCGATAATAATTATTGTGATAACCGAAACCTACCTCAGCACGACCATTGGACATTCACACGAGACAAATGTAAAAAAGAATAATCAAATAAAAGTTCTTACAAAAAAAAAAAAAACCAAAGCAAAAGAAATACCCGAGAATTTACAAAGAGGAAGCTTGTTTACTATATCAATTATTATTATTTCATTTTTATTTTATTATTTAACTGTTGTTTTAAGTTTTTTTTACTTTTAACTTTTTTATATTTTTTAAACTTTTTATTTATTTATTTTTTAAAACTGTTTATGTTATTGTACTGTAAAAACAGACGGTAACAAACAGAATATTTATTTTTATTTTAATGTAATTTTTAAGATTATAATAATCAAAGCTCTTATATATACGCAAATTTAATCTGTACATTTTAATTTGTAAGTAGTAATAGGACTGACACTAATACTTCTTACTATTTACATTTTACTTATACCTACATCTAACTTACAACCATTTAATGTTTTATTTAGTTTTCTGGTATAATGTTATTATATGCTTTGTTTAATTTTCGTTTGCTTTTTGGTTGATCGTAATAATTTGATATGATAAAAACAATACGACGGTAATAACAATATAATCATCTCGTGGACGCGCCTCGCCGCCTCCGCGGCTGTCTCGCCAAATAGCTCCCTCGCCACATCGCTGTCCTCCGACCACGCTCTCCATCCGGTCGCACTTAGGTATGTCCGACGTATCCGTTATATTGGTATATTGTTCACAGTTGGAACGGTGATGGTACTGATGGTGGTGACGGTGGTCGTGCTGGGTACTGTCGGGCTGCTCACTTGCGTGCTGCATCACTACAATCAACAATACAACCCGTCCGTGCCCTGTCTGTCGGCAGCGCCCGGGCCGCCGCACCGCAGGCTTACCGCGCCGCCGCCACCGCTGACCAAGAAGAAAAAATCGACGACGACGACGACTACGACGGCGGCGGCGGCGGCGGCGGCGGCGACGGCGACGGCTGTGACGACGACGACGGCAACGACGACGGCTATCATCGCATCGCCACCACCGCTCTCGACTACGAACGGTGCCCGTCGGAGCGGCGGCAGCTGTTGTAATAGTAGCAGCACGTCCTCGCGAACCGCCGTAAGTGCACCCTCAACGGCCTCAACCCCCGACGACGGACCGCTCGGTCGCTCGGCCGCTCGCCTAGTCAACTCGGCTTTTGTTGTTGTTGTTGTTGTTGCTGCCGCTGTTGTTGTTCTTGTTGTTCTTGTTGTTGTAGTAGGCGGCCTACAGCGCGTGGCGTCGGCGGCGGCGTACCGGCGTTCGCCGCCGCCGCCGCCGCACGCTCATTTATTCACCGCAGTCGTGTTGGCAACGTAGCGCGCCCGAGCGGTTGAATTCAAATGTATTGATTATGATAGGGTCATATGGCTAGCGCTCGTGTATTTAATAGTACACCGTATGTATATGATATATATATATATATATATATATATACATTTGTACATGATATACACATATATATATATACATATGGGTGTGTGTGTGATTATATACATACATAATAATATGTATTATATAAATATAGTGTGTGTGTGTGTGTGTGTGTGTGTGGCGAAGGGCCTCGCGCGACGTTTGCGGTGGTGCCAAGTTTAAAATGGGTCGTCCCAGATTCACACGCGTGCCGCGGCGTTCTCCTATTGTACGACTATTGTACAACTATGACGACGACGAACGCGTACGCTAGTCACCGACGCCTCCTCCGCCTCCTCCGCCTCCTCCGCCTCCTCCGCCGCCTCCGCCTCCGCGTCCTGCTCCCGCTGCGCTAGACCACCTCTCCTTATATACTCTGCGCGCCCCGTCAGTCCGGTGGTACCTTTATAATATATGTTATATAATATATATTATTATATCACGAGAGGAAAATCGGAATGTATCGGAATGTACACACTAGCTCGTCTCCCCGGCTTCCGGCTGTACACGGATATTATAGCTATAGAGTCTGAGAATTCACCTATACGAAATAACTTGCAACAGACGAGATACATTTCGAAACATATGGATAGGTGCTTGTTGTTCACTGTTACGAGTTTATTTTTTTAAATTTCACACCATCAAGAGTAGGTATACCTCTATGCACTTGAATTAGAGAAGGTACTTATGTATCGTTCACGTTGCTAAAATAATAAAACGAGCGTAATACTCAGCTCCTATTTTATATAACACGGTGAAATATAAATTTAAAAAATAGAGCCAACGTTCGAGGAAAAACTTACACGAACTTATTTCTAACTGCACTAGTTCAACTCACTAGTTAGTTTGTACTTTTTCAATGTCTGATGCGTCCGACTTTATTTAGAAACTATCGTACCGAAACAGAATCGGTGAACTGAAATTCAACTATCAGTTAAAACAACACTTGACCAACTTTGACCAGTCCTTCCCATATAAATTGTGTGTTTAATATTTTTAATATATATTTATTTATACATGTGTCTGTTATTTGTCTGTTATAAAAACGAGTTCCATACGTTTATCCATAAAACGAGTTTTTTTTTGACAATCGATAACTTTTTTTTTAATTTTAAATTTACACCTTTATTCTCTCCAGCAGACGACTCATAATGGTTTGACAAAATGCGCATCATGTACGTAAAGCATCAATTTTATTTTTTCGTATAGGTAATGTCAAAGGAAATGAAGATTTTTTTACGAGCGTTTACAAATATCTGTGTGAATTATTTATTTATCTTATATATTATGTACATAATATATGTGTGGATAAACCGACGTATAATTTAGTGCACACGAAATGCTTTTATCTGTCATATGTGGAAAAAAATAATTTAAATACCTACACCCGAAATTTTCGTAGTACTGTCAATTAATAATCATCGTATATGGTTGATACGATAAAGCGTTTTGAAATAAATAATACAATTCAATTATTTTAAAATACATATAATTAAATTATTCTTGTATTTTTTTACTGCTGATATTATAAGGATATCTTATGAGAGCCACAAAATTGTTATTATACTTGCGATAAATTCGTTACATACAGTATAATGATATGTGGTAATGATGCATTTTACGATTACATATATTTATATATATATAATTTAATATTCTGATACCAACATCATATGTTGTAATGTAATGTGTGTTATTTAGTGTAAGAATTAATATTTGTAATTCAAATGATTTTATTGTTTATTTGAAAAACGAATTTTATCGTATTACGATGATGTCTTGAGGCCGGAACTATATACTATGATTGTCGTAATACCGAATTATGAGTGTATTCGTATGCTTTAAAGATTTGAAAAACGTACCTCAAATACTTATATATTTATAAATTGTATAGCTACTCCATTTCCGCCATCTTTAAACTTAAAAGCACTCGAAAACTATTAACTTTGACCCAATTCAGTTTTAAGATTTATCGCATAGAATGCAAGTGCGAAGAAACAATTGAATACATTCATACTTTTTTGGAAGTCGTTTTTCCTTCAAAATAATATTCTTCGCAGAATTTTAACCTCCTGGAGCCCGGAAGCATTGAACAATACAGCACCTGCAAATATAAATGCATTCATTTCATTTTTATAATACTTGTTAACTACTACATACCACAAACTCTGGTTCCTTTGCAATACGAAAACTAATAAATATATTACCGTGAAAAACTGTCACTATTCACTCGGACCTGTAAAATATATTGAAATAATAATATTATGTATACTACATGTTTCACGGTTGTATGTATATAGTATAGGTACTTACTAAAATTGCATTCAGCTTTAATATTAAAAATATTTTATAAGACGACCTAGTTGTAAAGTTTGTGTAACAAAGTTTTCAAAAGAAATAATTATAGCCCTTCGAGCTCGTTGCCACCTCACGAGGTCAGTGTGTAATTTGTATCGTATAGTTAAAAATTATTATAATAATATTAGTTGAAAACGACCGAGGCTTCCGTTTCTAATAATAATATTATCACCTAGCGATAAAAGAGCAAGCTGAAGATCAAATAATCTGACAAGTCAATGGCAAAGCTGTAATAACGTTTCTGTGTGTATACTGCTAATAACTTCTATAATTATTTTAGAATTTAGAGAGGTTAAAATTAATCCAACGTTTTACTATTAGATTAAATTGCGAACGATATAACATGATAAGCGGATGGTAGTAATATTATAATTTCTATGTGTTGACATTTGTCCGTCTATATTGTTTTCGTACTATTTCCAATAATCAAAAATTTATTTCTGCAATGTTTAGATATGCACAACACTATACAACTCATTGACGTTAGTTAGAACAATGGGCGTGGGGTTGGTATCGAAAAAACTGCTGTTATTTTATTATATCTGCATATGATTTTAATTGATACATTTTTCACGCTGGTATAACAGTGATTTTATAGTTGAAAATAATTGTATGCGAGATGACCACATATTATAGTAGGCATTCAAACATATTGTATACATTTTACTATTATACTGAATAGTGCGTATATTTGTATTCAATATAGTTCGCTGCTCCTTGTATTTTTAAAAAAAAGTGAGGGCCTAGTCGTAGACCAAAGTTAGTATTATTCGGTATGCTTACGGTTTTCATACTTTTACATTTAATCTGCTCACTTATGCACGCTGAAACCCGCATACATAGGTCCGTCGACCCTTCGAAACAATCAGTGTTTCCGTTAAATGACGGTCACTCTGTATAATACAGTGGCTCCTATAATCGTTTTTCAGTCTGTCCCAGACGTTTTCCCTCGGCAAAGCGGAACAGAACACGACGATGATTCCGAGCTGGTTAAACCGTGCGTGCGCGCGCATGCTTTATATTCGTGTAATATAATATTATATTATCATGCACGCTGTACACCGACCGTGAGCATGATATTCGTGATATTATTATCATCATCATATAATACACGAGTACGGACTGCAGACGATTCCGTGTACACAGAAATTACTGAAATATGACGAATTCTGACTGACGGGGAGGGTGAAAAAAAAATTAGGGAAGAGAGTATATAGTGACAGAGGGATCGAAATAAGAGGGAAAAAAAGAGTAAAATAAACGGTCGTGTGAAAGGGAGATTATATACAGTAAGTACACACGCTCTCTCTCTCTCTCTCTCTCTCTCACACACACACACACACACACACACACCTACACACACACGCGCACACCCAGCACAGCGCGTGCGTGTGTGCCCCCCTTTCATTGTCTGCTGCAGGGGCAATCCGCTCCCTCGGCGCGGGACACGTCGCATCTCGCGGGGCCGCCGCCGAGTGAGTTTTCCCACCACCGAAAGGGAAAGGACGATATATATTTTTATGTATGCTTGTAGTGTACTTATATATGTATATATACATTCTCTTTTTATCGCGGAGGGACCTTTGAGTATAACGGTTTTTACTCGGGCGTGTACGTTTCGCCGCCGCCGGTGCGCGCACGCGGTGTACAATATAAAATATTTTATTATTATTATTATTATTATTATAATATTATTGTGTTATTATGTACGTACCATAATAGTAATGATAATAATAGTAGTAGTAGTCACACGCACGTCTCGGGGAAGAAAAAAAAAAAGAGTGTGTGCGGTTTGAAATGGTTTTCGGTCGGCAGCGACGACGATCGTGCGGCATTTGTGACGCGTGTGTGCGCCGGGAGTGGTCCGACGTGAAAAACGACGACCTGCCGCAGCGTACCCACGGTACATGCCTACGTTTTGCAAACATTTTTCGTGTTATTATTACTCGGAAAATCTATATCGTAATGTCGGGAGTGACGCAGCACAGTTGTAGAATCGCGACATTGCCGTTCACTGTCCAGCAATAATCATCGTATATATATATATATATATATGTATACAATTATACACTCGACCAGTATGTTAAAAAATAGTAATATTATTTGCACGCGCGCTCGTTTTTATGACATATATTCTATTTAATATCTTGCGCACCATATATTGTCGATGCAGTGCGTTTGTTGTTATCGTCGAAAACATAAAACCGTATATTATTATATTACGAACAATAATCGTTTTCTTGGCAACAAATTTACCTCGTTTTTCTGCTGCAGATGTTGACGATGCGAAGCAATAACGGGCTGTCCCGAGAACACGACCGGCAGGTCCGGTTGCACTCGGTCCGGACGGACCTGGAGTTGGACATGCCGCCGCGAATCCATTTGCCAGACGGCGAGGAGTACCCGTACGGCAGCATGGCCAAGTTGCATTTGCGGAATTCCGAACAAGTACGTGTGTATAACATTAATGTCAAACATGTTTTTAATATTGTGCTCGACGGTGATGAGGAAAAATACGTACATCACCGTTACCAGTACAGTATGCAAATAGTAATAATAATTGAATGCAATTAATATAATATAGTATTAATAGTGTGTACCACCAGTCTCTAGAGAAATATTTTATAAGAAAATAAAAAAAACAACGACACCGATATCGTTGTACTTACCAAAAGCTCCTCGTCGCGTCTCGTCCTCAGTCATGTTTCCCTAGACGTATTATGTAATTATATAATATTGTATTATTTTCCTTTAAAAGTGAACGCAATCAAGTTATGATTTTTGGAATTTTCAAGTGTATATTCATTGGACGTAACTATTTTCAATTGTTTAGATTTTTACACCATCTGAGGGTGGTCTGTGGTTATTTGAGCTTCTTTTTTTCAGTCAATTGTTAATCGGATTGGTTTTTTGAAAACACTGATGTATCAAAAATAAATTTTAACGAGTAGTACCTATCTGAGCTATTAAAATGTATAAGCTAAGGATAATAGACGTTGAGTCCAGGCAATAGTTTTACATAACTTAAAAGACATGTAATATTGGAAATTGCAATATTGATAATCGAACAATTTTTACAAATTAAAATATTGTTGATGTGCTGTAATATTAATTAACAATATGTTAAAATCATTATAGCCCTGTATCATTCAAATCCATAATCAAGGATTTATTTTCCTTAATATTCAAAGATAATAATAAGTCAAAAACCAATTGTCTATTGTTTAAATTTCGATAAGATACATAAATGTCCTCAGAAAAATCATTTGATTAACAATTTATTACAAAAAATTGTGATTCTTATTTGAAAAAAAGAAGTTACTATCAGTAATAGATGATACTCCTTAAAATGGTATAACACATCTAAGTATTTGAAAATATGATTCTTAATATTGGTATACTTGAAAGTAAAAAAAAAAAAAAACAGAATTTCTATAAATTCATTAGTAAAGAAAATAACAAGAGGGGAGCGGTTGAGCATTCTTGGCAAATAAAAAATTACCTTTTATGCATAGGTATGTGGCTAAATTCTTGTATATAGTGGCATGACAGAAAAATTAACACAAGATCATAAAATAAAATTTTATTTATTTTTCTTTGAACAACGAAAACGACACTATTTTTCTATTTCTCTTATGTGCAGGCATAAAAACTTAAATTAAAAAAAAAAGATTCCACTCCGTCTATTTCAACAACACTATCAACTATAATAGCATCGACTTATCTGATGTGTACGGCGGTACCCGTTTAATTAATAATAATAAATGTCGTTAATCGTCTTTGTCGGCGTATACAGTTATAAATACCACTGACGACGTTCGGAATAGGAGCGGCTCTCCTAATAAAAAATAAAAAACAAAAACAGAATTATGTTTAGGAGATATCATTGCCGTATGGTCGGTCGTGCGGTACATAATGAATAACCTAAAAAATTAATAGTTCATATTTTCATTATTTTCTTAGATACCGAAACACCATCCAGTCAATAACTGGTAGGTAGTAGGGTTTATATAATATTATTATCATTATTATAATATTTCCTATACAATAAATACACGAATTATAAGTGCCTGCAACGGATTTTCCCAAGGTTAGCTTAGACTTCTAGTTACGATATAGCTGCATAGTCAATGCGAATTAAATGTAATACAAAATAAGACTAGGTTTCCGAATATAGTATCTACATTCAATTGGCATTACCCTATGTATTGAAATAGTGTAGCTGTACCTAGTGTATCACGTAGCTACGTATGTTGTATTCAATTAGCTGGTCTATACCAAGTAGGGGTGGTGAAGGATTTTAGCCCACCACCACCTTCGACCCGACAAAGTACTGTATGTACGAAATACATATGTAAATACATAGTGAAACTTCCAAATAACGAACTTTTATTTGATAACATTTTCTGTTTAGCAAAATATATTTTAGAAGCAAATCAAATGTATGTTTGTATTACATTACGTTTGTCGTCTGGAATCGTTTAATTAACATGGTGTTTCCCGCAGGAACGAGAGATCTACCAAAAGTGCATCAGGGGACCGCCAAACCGGACGATATGGACGTCGACTGCGGAGTGTCGGAAACTGTCGCAGCCTCACAGGTCCAGTTCCGCGTCCGGCCTCACGTCCCTCTCCACGTCCTTGTCCGAAGTGGACTCGGTCACGAGATGTAATAGTGTCTCCTCGAGGTATGTGTAAGTATACAATATATTAAACACATTATTATACTCGATGTACATTATTATGTCAGGGATGGACAATTCGTGGCACTCGTGCCCAACATGACAACAAAATGTTAAGGGCGCCTATTAATGATTAGTGATGTTCTTTATTTGATCGAGTCTCTCAATGATTACATTTAAACTAACATTTTTTTTCTAATTTACATACATACCTACCTGTATAATATTTTTCACAAGGGCACTCAGAAAAGATCAATAAAATCTGCAGGCAATTGTTGACATCACGTTATGTTAGAACAATTTACCATCCCTGATATATAATATGTTACATTAATATTATAAGATAAGATCATCGATTATGATATCGGAATTATTTATGAGTCTGCACAACTCACATTTTTCTGTTGGCCAACCGACTCATATAGTATATTCTGTACACCAATTCGTTTGTTGTTTGGATACTGCCGAAATTTCATATATAATCGTCGTAAAAGTCGTATGTTTATTATAGTAGCCAGCCGTTGACGTTATCATCGCACGCGTAGTCCCTACAGAACACTATTAGTTACCTAAGACTTAGGTATATATAAGTGGCTGTGAAATTCTACTATAATCTTTTCCACTCCACATATGTATAGCAGTCGTCGAGAGTGATTTTTTTCTTTCTAACAAGCAGTCGTTTCTTTCAGGCTACTTAAACACAAGAAAATAACGTTTGCACCTATTTAGTTTTCAGATCTTACTAAGTATATTATAATATAATTTTATAAATTATATGGGTAGACATGGACCGAAAGAGTATGCTAGCGTCCTATGCGTTTAACGAAATAACACCTTGTAGGTATATTATTATAATCCGGCTCCAGTGGTATAATAAAGTCATAAATACGTATACGGTCGTGTGTGTGTGTGTTTGTGTGTGTGTTGGTATAGGGGGGGATCGAGGTGAGGCATAAATGTATGTATATGTATATAAATATGTATTTTTAACTATCGACTCACGGGATCGAGTCTCGAAGAAAATAAAAACGGTCTGTGTTTGAGGAGAAGCCGAAAGATTTCAGATACCGGGCCATATCGAGATGTCGAAGAATTTAATATAGCGAAACTGGTTGTGTGTGTGTGGAAAAAACAGTATCGCCATGCTTCGTACAAACACACACACACACACACACACACACACACACACACACACACACATACATACATGGGCACTTATGTACATATATATACTTAGCCACTCGTATTATGTCGGGGCCATTTGAAACGCCATCATCGTAATATTATAAAATACGATATAGGAACTGCACGTGTCATAATAAATACGTTTTAAATATGTAAATTTTTTGAAACGTTCTATTCGGAATTTACTCGTGCGTGCCACCACCAGTCGATTATATATCCTCCCGGTGACGCCACCTCCGGAATACGGTTCCTATAAGTTGTTTAATTTGTACGCTTATATACCTGGACATATATTATGTATATTAAAATATAAATAGACGTGTGCAGTCTTTTGTGCAGTTCACTTCAGACGCAACTACGCATTTCGTATCAAATCATATCGTTGACAAATATTCTGTTAATTGTTGTTGAGAATATTTTTGAGAAGTTAATAATAATATTATGTACATTATGCAAGAATACTTTATTCACATTGAATATATTACACGCGTCATGTCTATTTTGTATTCAAATTTAAAATGATAAAATCCAAAATTACATAAACAGAGCACCATATGAGACTCTTACATGGCTCTTGTGTTTCGTGGTCTCTTGGGTTTATCAAAATGATTTTAATACAGTGTAATAACTACAACATTTCATTAGAATCCTAATTTAAAAATTATAAAAAAATAGCATGTCTTGTCAATTATAATCTACATATAGATACGACAATTTGAGATATTTGAGAGAAAACTGACAATTTTAAATCATTATGAAAGGGAGCTTATATTTTCAAAAGTAAACAAACAACTAGGAATGTAACCTAGTGTTTACAACCAAACTCAATAATATTAATGTTAAAAGTTTCAGAGAAAATTTTTCGGAATTGATCAGTTTATATATATAATATTGTACATTTATCCATCATAAAAGGTACCCCTCAAAAAAAAAAAATATATATATATAATACAATTTGAACACAAACACAAATCAAATAAATTCGCCGAGTATATGTATAAGAAATCTGAATTTTAACTTCTTAGTTATTTTATACTTCATTGCTATGGCGCTACATGAATATATGCTATCATACTATGTAAACATTTATCGATTTTACGACATTACGATAATGTATTTCAGTACCTAACTAAATATACATTCTATTTGTTATGGCGAGTCTGTGTACTGTTGCAGCTTGCCCATATATCACGTGCATGTGCATGTGCAATGTGCATGTGCAACGTGCATTCGATAACATAATCATCTATAAACAACACGATTTTTTCATCACGCCCTATATACATTCATATATATATACAATATATTCTAATATTTTACGTATTGTTGCAGGTGTTTGCCGAGAACAGAGTTCCCGCAGGTGGACAACATTCAAAGTCTGTCGACTCTGACCATGGTACCATGTTTGAGCCACGTAGACAAACAGACGCTAAGCCAATAGTGAAATAATGAAGAGTTGTCTCTCACCGTCTACTATTATAATAATATTATACCTGTGTAATAATATATATGAGGTGCTACACATTGCAGAGACCGCTGAAAATACGATATTGTGTTGTATAATATATATTTATACAAACGCTCGTATGTGTATAATATTTTATACGATACACACACACACACGTCTTATGTATACATATAATTTAATTGTACTATTATATTATAATGATAATTGGCGTTTTATAAGGAAGAAAAACAACTCGCGCGCGCGCACACACACCCACACACAAACACACACACACACACACACACACACACACACACACACACATATTTATACACATTCTAACGGTCTTCTAATACCTGCGTATTTAATATTATATAAAATCTAAATCCCCGCGTGTATTCATCATGTGATAAAAAAAAATACATCTCATGTGTGTAATTGCATTTTTTTTATACATACATACATACATATATATATATATATATATACATTATATAGTGATATAGTTAATTTGAACATTGTTTTTTCTTATTTTTATTGCAATCGTGCGTACGCGGGGTGCATAGTATTTATCTGTTAATTTTATAATACCACCTAACATAATACGCATATAAGATTTCGTTGAAAACACGCGGCCGATTCGCCAGTCGCAACGATGATAATATAGTATACATTATAGTAAAACAATAACATTATGATAACACGCCGAATCGTCTCACAAGCGTAACTATGGTCATTCATAATTTTAATTAATGTATAATGTATTCATATTGTCCGAAAAAACCGTGTGCGGGCAAAATCGGTTTTACGGTCGGCGAGAGACGCCGCGTGCTTTCAACGAATTTTATAATAATTTCAAACAACTACGAGTCGTATTATCTACTTATTATTATATACACGTATCTTATATAGTATAATTTGTGATATATATATAGAGTATATGATAAGAATGTTGTAAAAAAACAAAAAAAGAAAACAGAAATTTATTGTTATTGTGGGCGCCCCAACCGCGGCGACAACAGCAGCAACAATACACGACGGTTACGACGTCCGGTAGCCGCGAATATTATTAAATACCTAGTAATTAATATGTTGATAATATTACGATAAGTATAAAAAATGTAATGTCTTACTTTGCTTTTATCGACGGGGGTGGATAATTCGTGTCATATGTAGGTAGGTAGGTGTACCGCGATGTGTTCGAAGGCGAATAATATCTAATATAATATGTTAAAACGATTGTGCTGTGCTTATTTAGACTATTATTTTACGAGAGAAACGAAAAGCGTTTTTCGATGGTTTTTTTTCCTTTTCTACTTATTGACGATTACATTTCGAAAGATGTTTCTAATTTTTTTACACGATTGGGGCAACGATTGATTTATGTTCGGTCCAGGGAGGCTGTCGTAATAATTATGACGGTTATGAGTTTTTGACGAATTCTTTTTACTGTGGGGGTTTTTGGGAATGAGCGGGAGGGGGGTATGTGGCAGTCGTCGTCGCGGTCATTTCAAGTTTTTTTTGTCCCAAACACAATCTCTGATACATACAAAAAAAAAACTATGACTTTATACGAACCGTAGTACGACGACAATATTTTAATGTTTCGGATAAATACAATTTAAGGAAAAGTTTTTTAGGAACTTTCAATGTGTCTGTAAAATTATAGTGAAATGAAAAATATCTATCATATACTTAATAATATCATAACCGCACGTTTTTTTTTTTGAATTGAATTGAAAGTTGTCTTCATTAGTTTTAATAAAAATGCGCTGACGTGATAATTAGTTTCGGTACGTGTGTGTTAATAAATTTTCCGAAACCAAGCGCTGTCGCTTTTTATTTTTGACGGACTCTTAAAAAAAATGGGTAATAAATTATTATTATTATTACTATATTATTATTATTATTATTATTATTATTATTATTATTATTATTATTATTATAAATGAAATAGTAGTTTCTAGTCATTCGTTAACTTTATTTAGCAAATTGTTTTGTTGTTTCTAATGACCGAAACTACGCGAGAAATCAACAAGTCGGGTCTGTGACTATATTATATTGTGTTGGACAACATTTTACCATCCAATTTTTGTGCGTAATAAAAGTGACTGTACTGTATATTTTATTTTATTAGTGTACATATTATTATATATATATTGTGTTGTACAAGTCGGAGTAATATGATTTTGTCATTGGTGATATTTATAGAAATAATTTAAACAAAATTAACTTTTTTTTTATGACCGTGCCGTTTAATGTGAAAATCCTTAACTTCAGAGTGAGTGTGATGAGATATATTTGTGGCTATTACAATAGTGTGTGGGAGATAGTGATTGAGGGGAGAGAGAAAAGGAATAAATGATAGGTAGTATAATTTTTGACAAAAGACAAAATAATTATTATTCTATAGGTTTTTCAATACTTTATAGACAAATAGTAGAACAGTGTTTTTTTTTTTTTTTTATTATTATTATGTAAGTAATATAAAAATATAGGTAATAACATGTTCATGCGACCGACATTACATTGCAACGTTTATAACTTGTATTTTTTTTTTGTCATTTTGTACAAATATAATCTCTTTGGTTTTTGTACGATATAATGTAAATTTAACTATAGATATCTTAATAATAATAATAATCTACATTATATTTACTACCAAAAACACTCTTATTTAGTTTCATTTGTATTTAATTTATTTATTTGTTATGCTTGTATACAAACAATATTATAACAATATTCAGTGTGTAAATACAAAAAAACTAATGTACATTATGTATGTGTAAAAAAACGATGGCATAAATGCAGTGATATGAGGGTAGGGACCCAATTTATTTTATGTAATAATTATTTTGAATTGTTATTTCGGAGCGAACAAGCCACTGAAAACTATATACAAAAAATAATGATAAGAAAAAAAAACGATGATAAAAATGAATAAAAACATTTTATTAGCTAATTAAAAAATATATTTCTGTATTGTCAAATGTTTTGTTTGTTAATCAATTGTCTAAATCTCTCCAGTCTTCGTCGGTCGGGGGTGTAAACATCACCCTAAAAGGCAATTCCTGTTCCAGTGCATCCACCGTTGAAGTGTTAAGTGGATTATCCTTGAGATCAACTTCTTCCAAATTCTTCAAACATGATTCCAATGTCCTAACATTTACATCTAAAATGTATAATCACAAACACAGTATTAATAGTTATATTAATTAATGACTTACATAATATATAATAATATGAAATACAGTAAAATAAATTGCGTCTGTAATGCATAATTAGTGCAAGTATATTATTATTTTTCTTTTTTTTATAAAAGACAAACATAATATTAGTCTCTATATTTAAAATTGAAATATTTAGTCGAATGTGTATTATGATTTGTTTGATAGACATATAACTTTTGTCGCTTACATCATTGAAATTAGTTCTGATGGGTGATATAAATTATACACAGCTGGAAGTATATCCTGTATGCTGTTCAGTGTACACATTCAAATTTCCAATACATGACGAATTTATCGTATTTTTTTTATATTTATATTTATGTCGTATTGAACATGTGTATTGTGAAATGATAAATTAAACAATCTAATTAATTATTTTAATAATATCATAACATAAGATGTGCATAAGTTTTTAACTTTAGTAATTTTTGTTTAATGTGACTATACTGTGGATTATAAATACTAATATTTACTAACTAAGGTCATATTCAATCATAAAGTATAGTTACTATTATAAACCTATGATGAAATTATGTTTCCTCTATACCTACTTGTTTTTTTTCTTATATTTGTTTATGATTTTTTTTTTTAACATTTTACTAGTGTAAATAGATTTTCTACTTTTCATTTTAATAAAAAATTATAATAATGGGAATCATGAAGACGTTTAAAATTAATAACAGTAATTTATGTATGCTGAATAAACTTCTATAATATTTTTAAAACGAGAATGGTTACACATTCATTGAAATGTAAAAACATTTTTATTTCAATTTTGGGAATGAAAAAGAAAACTGTTATAAATCACGAGAACCACAAAAAGCATTACTAAATCAATAAGATACTTGTTTATCTTTTCGGGTTATATTTTATTTTTATAATTATTATCATACTATAACTTATTACAATCATATGATATATTATAATATATAACCATAATGTTTTAAGTGAAAGTTTTCAATTTCCCTTTTTTAAATAATGTAGTGGTACTATATGCACCGATGAGTTATTAATCATTAGCGTGGCTAAGTATTATTACAGTATTTTTAGGAAACAAATAGACTCGGTTAAAATATAATAATGATAATTGCTTATTATCTTTACACGCGTCGCATCCCTCATATATTTTGTAGGACCTGTACCTGGTCTATACGCCTGTTGTTACCTCGTAATTACCTTTAAGACGGGTGAAAGACATTAATCTATAGCATTATCCCGTTATATCATCTATACCAAGGTCTAAGCGGGACGCCAGTCCATAGCAATAATATAGTTTATTGCTCAACTCACCAATAATAAAATTATTGTTAGCAATCAAAGTAGTTAATTCTTGTAAATGAGCAATCGATTCTGGCAACTCGACGAATGAGTTGTATGAAATGTTCAACTTTTTGAGGTTCTTCATTTCTGATAGTTTTTCTGGCAGCTTACTGATTTGATTATGAGACAAATTTAATTCTAAAAACACAAAAAAATACAAACTTTATTAATTTAATTTACTTGTATGAAACAAAGAGCACTAAGCAAATATATATCAATATAGAATCTAAAAATGTATGAAATTAATGATTTATTTTCATCTATTATTGGTTGGTAATATAAAAGCAGTCTATAGCATATCTATTTAGGAATGTTATTTTTAGGAGTGTAAACTGTTGCAGTAATTAAATATAATATGATATATCAACTGATTTATTGGCACTCATTGGTAAGTGTCAAAAACCTATTTTTATCCTGGAATTCAACCCTTAAAATTTAATGGTGACTCAAACATAATGATGAACCTTGTCCTTAAAATGCAAAAGTTTAAACTTTTGTTTGATTATTTCTGGTTGTTATCAATTACACAGAATCAAAAACTGTTATTATAAATATCATATTATACAACTGATTACTGCACATTTGCAAATATTTCACTCTTCATCAATTCACTCGCAAAACCAAGTTGTGCATTTTCATAATTTATTATTTCAATGCGATTATGGTTTTATGTCAATAAATATTCTACTGGCCCTGCATAGCCCTGAACTCTCAGTTGTATGTAAACCATTTTTTTATTTACACAACATTATTATCGTCACTTAAATAATTATTTGTGCGTTTAATTTGTTGATATGTGCCATGTGTTTATGTGCAATGTGAAATTCAAGTGAGATTGTAGTGATATACAGGCACACAGCCGCATGTTATGCCTCGCAGTGCAAACACGTATCTAGAGTTTTATTGCAGGGTAGAAGGGGGTGGCAGACTGTTTAAAAAAAATTCAGTGTTTAAATATTTTTCAGGTTAGTACAAAACAATTTGGAATCGATTTTTGAAAATGCCAATTTTACGGTTTTTGAATTTTTGATTAGGCGTACTAAATAATAAAAACACCACTTTAATTTACTCGAACTTCTCACCTAAGATCATGTGTATGTTTTGTGGCATAAATATATTGTGTTATTTTTGGCACCAAATATCTATAGATATTATAACGGAGATCATTCTGGTAGAACATGTAAGCAGGCAGCGTGACAAAAATCTATCATTTTAAGCGAAATTTGTTTAACACACAAATTTCTTTATATTTGGATATTTCAGTTTTAAAAAATAGGTTTGAAAATGTATTCGTTTTTGTATCCAGACCTATCTATAATGTGTTGGAAAAACTATAATTTAAAATCGAATGTATTACAGTGTAACAATGTACAAAATATTTTATTCTGAATTGTATCAATACGAAAGATATTTTAACCAAGATTTGTAAGCAATTTGTACAATACAACACCTATTATATTCCAATAATATTAACTATGGTTATAATATTATCATATACAATATATCTATATATAAGTGTAAATTCTAAACCAATTTTTTTCAAACTGAAAACTTAATATAAATAAACAAAGAATACTACACGAATGATACAACATTGTGAACTATACAATTATGTCACATAAATTAATTATTTTTTTTATTATTTTTTTAAATATTGCTCACACATTACTAATAAGTTGAAAACATAAAAGCAGCGTTAAGTCATATGCGATATGCAATTTTACAATTATTAGTTAGGTATCAAATAAAGGTATCATTTAGTATCTATAACTATGGTCTATTATTATTTATTGGGCAAGATTTTGTACCAATTTTTTAAGAAAATAATGTTAACAGATAACATCGTGGTAAAAGAAAAAAATATGGTGGCAATGTAAACCAAAAACTTATTTAATTTAAATGTTCCAAGTTATTTCGGGGGGGGGGGGGGGGCTGCAGTCCCCTCAGCAACCCAATAAACACTTCCTGTTTCAAGGAAGTATTTTTATGATGGGAGGGGGAGGGGGTGAGAATCACTTTCAAATTTTGGATTAATAAAAACTAATATTAAAATTTCAAATAGGTAATTTCTCTAAAGCTTCAATAAATATATATAGAAAAAATTGTATTTATGTTTTCTTTTATTTTATAAAAACTATAAAGTAATATCTAACTAACTTTGCCCAACCTACCACATGATTGATGAACTACCTTGTGTAATATTATATATTTTTAGGCATACAAATGTTAAGGTAAGTAAACACAGTTTCGAAAGTATTAAAATACCTAGAAAAACTGTACACATAGGTTCATAATATTATATATTATTACTTCTTGTCAAATGTGTTGATTTAGTGTTAATTTTTTAGGTATCGTCAAGTAAATACCTACTTACAATTTCCAAATTAGTTTCCGAATCATAGATATTATTCTTAATAATATTCGATAATAATATTGTCAAATATGATATTACGTTACTCTCTATACCCAAATATCTATTGAAGTCAAAAATACATTTTTAGTTTAATCACATGTATAGGTTTTGTTTATATATACATATTATAATATTATAATCACTCAGATATGTTACGAACGCGCAGGTAAAAGCGTTTAAAATGTCATCGTCTGTTTTTTTTTTATATTCACTCAGTAACCGCGGGTGCACATTGCACTGTTGGAGCAGCTAGTTATCTAGCCTATCTAGCAGTTTAAACTTTAAATGTCAATCGTTTTTTCTATTTAAGTATCAATTAGAATACTATAATTGGTACCTATATACGACTTGTTGTCTGTATAATATATAGTATATACCTATATAGTAAACACATCGATAGTGGTGTATCTAAAGATCGACTGGGTCTCAACTTCTTTTTTTTTAACAGTCTTAGCATTCATTTTTTATTTTGTTATTACAGATATATTAAAGTATTATAAATACTACAGATACATAAAAATAATATAAATACAAGCACATTTTGCAACGGTCCCACTTGAGTGGTGGAGGAAGATTCAACAAACTCCCACAGAGTTTCAAATAATATTTATTAGTATGACCTCCCAATGGATCTACAACGAATAATAAATAAAAACCCTCTTAGTTTTAGAGTAAGTTAGGGTTGAGTGTTTGCCCCACTAATTGATAGAACTCTCAAGTTCGCAAAAATAATTCATCACTAATGTTTTCTTACTCGCCTATTAATTAAAAGAACAGTAATAATGTCATTATATCACTGTAAAAAAGAAATGACCTAGTACGGTTTAGCGGGATTTAAGCAGAAATATGCGTTACGTATAAGAACTTTTTTGTTATATCCGGCTTTTATGGATGCATTAATAAAAGTTTATTTTTATATACCTATATGAATATATAATACGTCCGACCTAAGCACGCAGCTGCGTCTCTATAATATCACCGTTTTTATTTCACTATTGTTAGAGTTTTTTTCCTGGTTATCCTATGCGATTCAAAACTATTTAATTGAAATACATTTATCTGACGGCACAAATGCTTTTGCAAAACTATACAGCTGTTGTCGCTGAACTGTAAAAACATATTCGAGTTCAAAGAATAAAATTAAATCATACATTGCCAAGTAATTTACGGTCCGGATTTATTATTCTTTACAAATTATTATTATTTTGTTTGGCATGTGTATTGCATCGCACTGCACACGTTCATCTGGGTATGTACAGTGTACACTGTACATAAAATATAATAATATCTTAATCCAACACACATAAAATATATTAATCGCGCACAATGGCGCAATTGACATAATTAATAATAACAACTTTGGTGAGGAATTTTCATTCGTCGACCTGAGCCACATATAATAATAAACTTGCCTGTGATGGTCGGAAATCGTTCGGTGAATTTCACTGGTAGTTTTGAAATCACGTTATTCGACAAATCGCACGAGACCAGTTGCGTGTTTTGCATGAGCAGGTATATCGCGTCAGGGATCTGCATCAGCTGACATTCGGACAAATCTGGAAAATAAAATGGATATATATAATAATGTTATATGTTTAATCGTCTTTAGACGTGACCCGGCGTTTTTAAGGTCCATCACGATAAGTATATAGTGTGTACACTTGACCATATATTATATATACTATATATATTATATTATTTATGTATATCTGTAATCGTCAGACGTGATACTTGCAGGAAGTCCAGATGTAGACTGTTCGAGGTCGCGGTTACAATAATAATTATCATACTATGGCGGAATATCTTTCCGCGCTAGTCTGTTCCAATGGCCATCACCCATATATGGGTGCATAATATCATTTGACGTGAAACCGGAATGACAATACAACAACGTGTGTGTATATTTATTTACTCGCATTATTACATCATCATCATCATCATCATCATCATCATCATCATCATCATCATCACCGGCATCAATGTGTTGTGAGATTTGTGATTGAAACATATATATTTACAATCGATAAGAAAATATTGTGAATGGGTATGGTATAATAGAACAGCTAGACGATAAATACACCGCGTTATTTTTGCAAACAATTATGGCCTATTCGTTTTGTGTTTACTGACTTAAAGTCATTGGAAATTATTTTGAAATTCAATAATTATTATTACTGCTTATATCCTCAATAGTTTAATAATATAAATACCTGTTGATGTATGTCTAAGTCACATTATTTTTGAAATGAATCAAATATATTTTGAATTTGTATAAAGAGTTTTCAGTTTATACGCAGTGATGATAATAATATAGCACAAATGTCGTTAAAGTTGTGCAGTAATAGTCGCGTTTGCGGAAACGCGTAAATTGTCATGGCCAGATCTCAGATCTGTTTATGTATTAAAGTTTTTACGCAGTAGAAAATGGATATATTTATAGAAATATCGTTATTACAATAAATGTAGGTACTTTAGAGAATTTTTAAAGGTAAGATCTAAATTACACTATGTAATAAATATATTTTTTTTTTTATATAACATTTTATAAATATAATTATATACTACAAGTAAAATTGCTAAATTGAAAAACCAAATTTTTGATTTTACATAATATGTATCGAGATTTATACTCGTTCACAACGATTCTAGGTTTGTTGTTAACAATAGAGTATTTATTATTTATCACGTGGACATCAAAACACTTTCTTTCGTTGTGGTAATAATAAATAGGCAACGTTTTTAGCGTTTGGTGTAACGCCGTAATATTGTAATAAAAATAATTAGATCGAATAAGGTGAAAGCGAGGAAACTAGCACATACATCTAGCGAATAGGCGTAATATTATTATATTAAAATTTAAAAAAATGATGTGCTAAGAATACACGATGTAACCGCTCGGTATGTACAAAAAAATAATTTAAATATGTTACTCAATAAATATACCATTAAAAGTCATACAAACAATAAAGCCATTAGCCGTGTACATAATAAATTTTATCTTTAAGGAGTATCCATTTTCGATTTACCGATATTATAGAACGGAAGCTATGAAATAAACAACAATTTCGTTAGCAGTCAGCTGTTACACTTTTTTCTGCATAAAAAATATCAATCATTTCGGTGTGGACAAATTTACGTTCAATCTACCGAAAACTTTTCGATATTACGCGTTAGTTATTTTTTATATTTTAAGGTTGATTGTAACAACGGTTCGATTATAGTTTACAATATCACACAACCCTGACGGAATTGCATCAGTGATAGATCCGTCAATATCGCCCGTCGACTAGTTTTTAAAATTCTATTTGAGCACTTCGTACACAGTACACACATGGTTCCCCTACAAATATTAGGACTTGGTTAAACGGACACCGTCAATACGACTTATTGATGAAACTTTTCGGTTACCAAAGTCCAACTTGTCGGTACACCTGGAAGCCACTGAAACCTGCTCGTGGTATCTATTGCAGTAGCGGACTGTCCATATTTCTGGTACCATTTACAACGTATATGGTCCCAAAGCCTTCTGCTATTAAATGCGCTTACCCAGGTTGTGGCTCTCTTGCGCCTCGTTGCACCGGTTCACCACTCGGATAACCGCGTTTCCGGCCAGTCTGGTGGACACCAACATGACCGCGGTCTGCTGGCCGTCGTCCACTTCCACCTCGGCGGCTTCGATTTCTTCTTCGATTGGCGGTCTCATGTCGACGGCTGGTATTTACGGCAATATTACAATAATACTATAATAATATTCAATACTATATGTATAGTTTATACAGTACTGCGGTATTACTAGCGATCGCGGTACTTCCGGTCTATGTGGCGGCGAAAAAAAACACACTGACTATTTCCGGGGAAAAAATTCGTAGATGCAGACTTCGCTGGGACAGGTCGTCGGGAAACTATCGAAAAATCCTGAGAACACGACTGCAGTCTCGGACGACGAAAACGCTCTGCTCGAGGATCACAATATGCAACGAGAAACAAATACAGACGGTAAACCCGCGGCGACGGCACCGACCGGACTGTACGGCAGCCGTTTGGTATATAACGTTGTCCGGCCGATCGCCGTCGCCACTACGCGTAAAAAAATATATTATATGTTATATTATTATGCGTCATCGTCGCGTTGTCGTTCACCTCGAGCGTGCTGCAGTTATGTTTAGCTTTTGTTATTTTTAGGCGTCCGCTCGCGATTCAGGGTTGCTTAAACTCCGCCGCGCGCGTCTCGATTTTCTTTGTATCGGACGACAATAATATTGCGATGACGACGACATCATTGCTCGTGTGTGTGTACCGCGGTAATAACAATAAATAAATACCGGGACACTCCTCGCAGCGGTTTTCCGGTTGTATTATCGTGACCCGTGCCACGGAGTATTTCGCCGCATAAAGACCAAAAGACAAAAAAAAAAAAACAGACCGCCGCTAAGTCGACATCGCCAGAAATAACTGCAAATATATTTCCTTAGTGCGTATTATTATAGTATATAATACTCGTACAACACACGTTTTCATTACGAACACAAGAGAAGAAAGGAACTACGCGTCGGTATCGCATTTGGCCAGCGAGATGTGGATTGTACACCGCAAATAAATACCACATAAATCACACGCGTTTATATCAGAACAACGCTATTATGTATGCTTTAATATTATTATTGTCTTGCAAAGTTTAAAAGTTGAACGGTGAAATAAACGTCAAAAATGTAACCATGTTAAATGGTTTCGAAATGTTTCAATCCAATATAGGTCGGTTATTTGTAGGGTGTAGTTGTGATATAATTAGCAATTACTATGATATATAATTTGAGAAAAAAAAATTGGTACTTCCTACGTTTGTTTCGAATTAAATTGTACGACCAAACAGTATACATAAATACATTGCGTATAAACTACGGTGAATTACAAAATAACAATGAGTGAATACAGCTACAGTCTGACACAGTAAACGACTTTGATTTTAGTTTGAGTTTACGATGATCAAATGATGTGTTATTTTAAAACTTTCACGATTTTTAAATTTTTTCTTATCGGTGTTTTATATTGTGAAGACGGTCTTTATTATAACAATTTAAACTCAAGCCTCAACAAGTTGGTTGAATGGAAATATATATATATAACATAATACCTAAAATGTTCTTTATTATTTATTTTGTATTTCACTTGTAAATGAAGTAAAACTTAAATGATATACAAATTAAAACTCTGATTGATATCATAAAAGTCCAGAGTTCTTATATAGGCATAACTTTAAATTTAATTAATTTGTTACATTCTTCAAGTAAAGTTGTTATTTGTTTTAATAAATCCATTTAAAAAATACTCCCGAAAATGTTAAATTATGTTGTATAAATAAATAAGTAGATATATAAATAAAATCAATTAGATTATGTATAACTTAATAAGTTCAAATTATATCGTAGTTTTTTTTATATATAATATCAGAATATCTAAAATCTGTGTTTCACCATCATAAATGAATAAATAATAAGGTAATTTTTTTATTTAAACAAATATAATACCCAAAGATTGTAACCAATATGATTTAATTTTTTTTTTATAACTTAAAATTAAATTAATTTTGGTATTAGGTATTATTTTATATTTAGTAGTTAATATTTTCGAAACTTCTTCCACAAAAAAATTAAAAAAATACATAAAACACACTGATATTGCAAGCAATAGGTCTCGCCAGATCCCAAAAGAAAAAAATTAGCATTTTTAAAGTTATTTTTTTTTTTTTGAATATTTATTACGCCGTTCGCATGACAGTTTGTGAGCCAAGTTTTGAAATTCACATGAAACTCCTTACTCTTTAATGTCTACATTTCACGGAAGGCACCAGAACATATTTCCGTCCCTATTTCTTAGTAAAAATTAACATATTCTACATTTTTTTGTTGCTTATATGTTACTTACCGTTCCTGTAAATTCCCAAGCTAAATCTTGTAATTATCTCTAAACTCCTTACATCGCATAATCAAAGATGCACAAAATACACTCGGAATAAAGAGATAGCAACAGGTCTCACCAGTAGTAACAATAACCATTTTAAAACATTTTTTAAATTAAATGTAGCTTACCAGGTACCTACACATATTGTCGTATATTGTAGAAAGTCGTCAATATAATATTATTTAATGTATACAATATGTTATATATGTGGTAATATATTTTAGCAAATAATTACTAAGATAAAGCTGGTTTGACCGGCGATTCAATATATTATACTAATATAAGGTGACACTAAAAAGTTACTAAATAATACCACACATCGACAGACCCGCTGTAGTAGTGAAACTCGTCGAGATGAGTGTGGGTGCGACGGTTATACGCGTGCGAGCGACGTCTGTCACACGAGCCAAGTATGATATTATTGTATGTTTGATTTTAAAGCCAATAAAAGTTTTCTCTGTCTTCTACGTTCTCACCATTCAAAAAAGAATAGTGCTCGGATCGGGGCTGGCGTTAGGAGTGGGCGACCAGGGTGCCTACAATTAGGTTGGACGCCTCGACAACATTGTAATAATTGATTATCAGGAGAGGGAGGTGCAAAGATATTGTTTCGCTCAGGGCGAGAATATTTGTAGCGCATGCACTGGCTCGGATAGGTTTATTTATCCGTAGGGTATATGAAATCCTGATGGTCATTCTAATTTAGAAGGAACGGACGTTGACAAGCGCATACCGCCGTACCTCAACAAATCTAAAACCGCTAATTTAATTTATTTCAGAGATAATATAGTCATTAGCTTGGAGCGTGCGAAGGTAAGGCGTAGTAGGTTTAAGAGCGTGTCACTCTTACGGGATATACGGCAATTGAAAATATGTAATTTCAACTGACTAATATTAAAAGTTTCTCCATGCATATTATTTCACCGAAGATGTTGATTCATAGATGTACTAGAAATAAGACGAATTATTTCCGAGTATTACACAACCATAGTGCCAATTGTTAGTTTTCGAAGTTGCCACGTAGACGAATGAATAGTTAATAACTTATTCGAAAAATTGGAAACGTCATGATTTCATTTGCCAAACAATTATAATTACTATTCTATGTATAGTAAGTATCAATTATAATTGAATAAATGAGTGTTTAGGTTGATGCCATAGTAAAAAACTATGGAAAACTGTGATAATGTTTAACAATGCTAGTGCATAGGATCGAGCACGCTGATCGTTAAAAATTTTTTCTGTGAGCTTTGGTGCTTATCGTCTTCGGTGTATCTATACTCTTGTTTTCCGACCAACTGATTAAATTTAACTTTGAAACTAACCCAACAAAACATACCACGGATAAATTAGTAGGTATTTGCAAGTATACAGTGAGCTGAAAACGCAAATGTTGACTTGTAACACGTGTCAAGTTTTCGTGCGATACAGGTTCACATGAGTAATTTGTACGCAGGATACTGCTGCAGCCTATGATACAGGTTCACATGAGTAATTTGTACGCAGGATACTGCTGCAGCCATTCAATAATTGGGTCGTTTTGTTGAAATGTCGAACACGATAAACACAATTCAATTATTGATGATTGGAAAGCTGTTGTCTCGGTGCACGTGCTTATTCAAATGCAAGCACAAATTTGATTTTAATTAGATCCCAAGTACTCTTATACGTTTAATTTTTAAATCGTTTGCTCGACATAAATATAAGTCATACCACTAATCGCTAATTATTAGGTAGTAGATGTAATATGAGGAATTGAGCATTAGAGAGCTTCAATTCCAGTAGCATCATTCGCATGAAGAATTTTCAATCAATAAACGATTATTTGTTCCAAGTATTCGATTATTATTGTTCCGTCAATGTGAAAACAGAAATTTATTTCCATATTACAAATATTGTTTTATTAGTAAATATGTTTTGAAAATTATATGTTACTATAATTTGTTACACAGTGCATACCTACTAACATTTATTAAATACATTTTGCTGACTAGATAGATATTAAACACGAATGTTGAATGTTGATATTACAGTAAATTATTGCATCAGTTATTAGAATATCTGGAATAGTTCAACAATATCATTCACAACATAGACGAAGAAAAACATACTTTCTACAAATATTTGTATTTGAATATCGTCACATGTTAATATAATGTGATGAAAATGTGAATGTCAAAATAAATCAGTTACCAGAATTAGTAGTACATAACGTACTATTGAGACAAAAACAAAATATGTTATAAATTAAAATAGTTATAAGTAGTCAAAATATTATGCATATTAGTTTTTAAAATGTAAACGTTTATAAATTGCTCTTAGTGCAGTATTTAAAAAGATTTACATATTTGATATTATTAATATTTTTATAGTGCAGCTTAAATGTATTAAATTAAAATATGCCTGATAGTTATTACTGTCACGGTTAATCAACTGCAGTTGTATTGTTTTCATAAAATAAAATTTTTTTTGTTGAGCTAATGGCCTTAACCGCCTGGCTTAAATTCAATAAAAAAATTTTTTTTAACTATCTAATGTTTTAACTTCATAATAATGAGTAAAGCATAATTAAACATTTTTCTGTAATAATGAAATTTCAGTCATTAATATTGTATCAGTTTCAGATTCCGAGGTAAACGATAAAAAGTTACTGGTAGCAAATTTGATCTAGTTGGAACTTTGATAGGGAGAGATCAAAAGTGAAAAATTCACAGAAGTTTTCCAAAGCATCTGAAAAAATAAATTAAGGTAAAAACAAGATTATTTATAAATTTATGTTCCTGAAATAAAAAGATGCTTACTAGAAAGTCGCGTTTATTTTTAATGAGCTTTTGAAGTTTAAATTTTCATGACATTCGATATTAACCCTTAAAACAACTATTTTTCTCCAAACATTTTTCACATTTACTTGTAATTCCAAAACGTAGATACTTTAAATTTTCATCAAATATTTATAATAGGATATTCTAATTAGCTAAAATTTTAAAAATATTTTGATTATTTCTGAGCTATTAATAGACATATTTTGATATATTTTGAAATATTTCTATGAATATCAATAAACATTTTTACAAACTAAAAGGTTAATTATTTAATACAATGTTTCTTATATATTTT